CACATAATATTTTTTGGACTAGGTAATACAGGCCTATGACACAAAATTCAAAAGGATGGACAATGAAGGAAGTCTCTTCTCTCCACCAGCCACCTAATGACCACATTTTTAAAAATTATCTTTTTTATACTGTGAAATAATACATCCAAAAGTGCATACAAATACAATAAGTGTACACATAGGTACAATTTAAAGACAAATACTAAATATTCACATCACCACCAGCCAGCGTATGAGTGGAGCATATTTGTGTTATGTTGAGCTGGATTGTAAGCTCTTGCTGGTATGTCCCATTGAGTACTTAGTATATACTGGCCCTTTGCATGTGATGTGTCAGTTAATCCTCAGAGCAGCCTTACAAGGGGGTATGAATATTATCCCCATTTTACAGGTAAGAAAACTGGGTTTGGGAGTAGGGTCGGTAATCTGACCATGGACTCAGTTAATGAATAGCAGATGTATGATGTCTGGGTTTTCAGTGGCTTTGCACTCTGTTACTGTCTAGGTGTCAGTAAGTTAGTTAATGGTGTCTGGCTCAGGGATGGTGTTTTCTGGTATCTCACTCCAGACATGGACAGGGTTGGCCTTTGCTCAAGAGCACTAAGGTAGGTGAGGCCCCAACGTTGGGGAGGCCTTGACATCAGTCTCCATTGTCCATGGCTCCTTTCTGGCCACCTTTATCACCCATCCCTGAGTACATGGGGGGTGGGGGGCTCCAGGAGGGAAGGGCTTGTTCCCAAACCCAGAAAGGATCACCATGCTGCATGGCAATGTCTGCCTGCACCAGTAAGGGATGAATGTGCTATTTACAGAGAGGGGAGGGAAAGCAGGCTTATAAAAGTCAGAATTGCCATACCTAGAGATTTTAGGGCCTGCCGTCTCCTTTCCACCTCTGTGCCTATGAGATATCCATCCTGTAAGCCGTGCTCATTCCCACCCCTTCCTGGAAAAAAGATCCCGTGCTGTAGTCACCCCCATTGTCTGTGTTGTCCAGACAAAGAAGGGCTCTGCAATCTTCTAGCCTTTGCTGTCCAGGCCTTGTGGGGTGTCTGTGCTTATAGAAGATTCTCAGCCGACCTGCTGAACGGAGAGAGGAAGGAGGCGTGACCCTGTGCGCACCAGACTCGGTCCTGGCAGGCTGGTCTCTCCAAGGGGACAGGGATCAGTCAAAGTAGTGCAGCCACGTCCACATCACCTTTTCAGGTCACCGATGGGGGTGGAAGCCTCCATGAGTAGGATTGGAAGCATCCATTTCCAGGAACCTGGAGTTTGTTACTGCCTGCTGTAAGTGTGCTGGTTTCCCCACATGTTTAGTTTAGATGTTTTAAAACAGTTATTTCCATGAACTATTGAAAGGAGCAACCGGTCTCTGAGTGAATTTCTGTTTTGATCAGCTGTGGGCTTCAAATCAGGTTTGTTGCTTAATCAGCGAGAGGTGGGCGCAGCCAGCTGCCATGTGAGGCATATTCGTTTGGAAAGGTCTTATGGCCCTTAAATTTGTAGAAAACTAACACCAAAGATGTGGCCTCTCATTCATTTATTCATTTAAAAATTATTTACTGAACACCTATTATATGCCAAGTGCTGAGGATTATATAGTTTTTCTAGAATGTGTGAAATATAATATAGGCCTGCATTCTGCTTGAGTAGGCTGGAATAACATCTCACCATAACATTGATCCAACACAATTCTCTTTCACAAGAGAGTTACAGTAAATGATGTGTGCTTCTGGATGTGGACTGGAAAAAAATGGGTGATTTGATTTGTTCACATTGTTGGGTGGAGATGGGGGAATATTTTTTTTCATTTTGATGTCCTTTATCATCTGTATACTTAAAAAAATCCTTATCAACAGAAATGGCCCTCTTGACACACACACACACACACACCCCCAAACAAGCCACCATTAAGGAACTGGGGACATTTAACCTTAAAGAAAAGACATTGGGTGGCGGGCAGCATGGCTGCCTTCAGACACTGGAAGTGCTGTCCTTAAGCTTAATTTGGCATCATTTTAGACCTGTGACTCTCAAAGACCTGGTACAAGCATCCTCAGCATTTCCTGGGAAAGTTAGAAATGCAGTCTCAGCCCTACCCCAGAATCAAGGGTGGGGCCAGGAACTTGTGTCTTGACAAGCCTCCTGGGTTGAGAACCACAGCTTTTGCATTCAATTCAGTAGGTGGGGCCTGAGACTACATTTCCAACAAGCTCACAGGTGATGCAGTTTGACTGTTGGTCCGTGGACCACACATTAGTACCAGGTTGTACAAGGCAGTATGATATGATATAAGGGTGTGGGCTGGGGTAGTGCTTCCTCAATCGCTATAGTTTTTAAAAGATGGGATTTGGGTATAGCAGTACAACAAAATGATATGGTGCTTTTTGTTAAAGAGGAATGAAATCAAGCTATAAGCACTAACATTGAAAACTCTCCAGCAATAGTGTTAAGTGAAAAAAGATTTTTTTTTAAAGTAGATTTTGAAAATATCTTTTGATAAATTTGCTTCTATTAAAGCCAGCATAGTAAAATCATAATTCCATTATTATATAAATACAATATTTAAACATTTTAAAATGTGACTTTTAATACCCCTACTTTTCAATTTTTCGGCATTTTTTCAACTACTGAACATTTTGGGGAAAAGTATTAAAATATATAAAACCATATGATTTCACTCATATGGAATATAAAACAAAAAGTAACAAACAAAGTAACAAAACAAACAAAAATAAACTCATAGATACAGCAGAATGGTAGTTACCAGAGTGGAAAAGAGGTGGGGAGAGGGTAAAGTGGGTAAAGGGGTCAAATATAGGAAAAAAACTAGATTTCAGGTGGGGAGCATGCAACAGAGTATACACAGATGTCGAATGCTGTTTACCTCAAAGTTATATAATGTTATTTACTAAAGTTACCCTAATAAATGTAATTAAAAATATATGTATATAAAAACATCTACATAGGGGAATACATTTTTTCTTTCACGTCAAGCTCCAGTGTGGCTCCAGATGGTACTGTCAGAGCCTGTCCTCATTTAAAATTTTGATAACTTGTTCATCATGGATTTTTTTTTTGTATGTACTGTACTTTGATTTTTAAATATTATCTTGATTGATGAGTTTTGGGGGTACCCTTAAATTTTATGCCGGAGACTTTGGGGATTCTCCAGGCAGTGGCTCTCCTGGCCTGTGGGCCCTGAGATGGTCTCACTGTGGTGGCAGACCCCTCTTTGCTCCACATACCTCCAGCACGATATTCGCCCTCTCCCAGGCTTCCATGTTTATGTGACACTATGCTTTCTTTACAGCCAGGATCCCCTCCTTTAGAGCCTAAGTTAGACCTTACTTAAGTCTCTTTGTCTGACATTCCAACCTCCCACAGTCAGGGTGAGTACTACTGATGGTGGAGATAGGAATGACTGTACTTTCATAAGGCTGATCTCCCTGGTATATGAATATATGGCACTTGTGAACTCTCCATCTAAAAGGCAAGCCCCACTAATATTATTCCAGTTCGAAGGCCAGTGTGAGGTCTAGCTTGGAAATGCTTTCATAACTGTAGCAGATGTCATCAGTGTCCTGCCCCTGCCCCCAGGCCCTGCCATTTCTGAGCATACCCATCCACACAGCAGCGGCCCACACCTGCAACCCTGTTCTTGTGTTCTTTTTGGAGCTCCCCCCCCCTCCCCGCCCCACCTGAGGCAGGCCAGAAGTGCTGGGGAGGTAAAATCAGTGCCACCCAGGGGTAGCCCTCAAGAGTGCTGCCAGGGCAGGTGGGTAAAGACTCAGCTCCCAGGGGGTAGGTGACCCTGAGGTCAGTGTTCACTACTTCCCGACTTGCCCAGACGACTGGACTCTGGTTGCCTATAGCAATTACTGGCCCGATGATCCCACCTCATAGGAGCTCTTTCCCATGTCCCTGCCTCACTTCTTTACTCTCCTCCAAGTGCTTCCTGGAGTCCCCTCCCAAATAACTCCTTATACTGGAATATTTGTCACAAGATCTGTTTCCTCAAAACTCCAAACTAAAATGAAAACAAGGTTTACTTTGCCCACTCTAAAATCAAAACATTAAGGCACACAAGTAGAAAGAATAAAACTGCATCCATTTTTGTTTGCTCATCTGGATGCCGTGAACCTTTGTGGAAAGTTTTGTCTCCTGTTCTAACCATTTTCCTCCTGTTGAATCCTTGGTCATCATGATTGTTTTTTCTCCCTATTTCCCCCACCCCCAGCCCCTAGCAACCATTTTTCTATGAGTTTGACTTTTCCACATTTAAGTGATACCAGTGCAATATTTGTCTTTCTCTGGCTTATTCCACTTAGCATAATGCACTCAAGGTCTATCCATGTTGTCGCAAATAACAGGATTTCCTATTTTCTTGTGGCAGAGTAATATTCCATTGTATAAATGTACCGCATCTTTTTTATCCATTCATTTGTTGATGGGACACCTAAGTTGTTTCCATGTCTTGGCTATTGTGAATAAAGCTGCTATGAACATGGAGTGCAGCTATCTCTTTGAGATCTTGTTTTCATTTCCTTTGGATATATATCCTAGAAGTGGGATTGCTGGGTCATAAGGTAGTTCTATTTTTAATTTTTTGAGGTACCTCCATACTGTTTTCCATAGTGGCTGCATCAATTTGTAATCCCACCAACAGTGCATGAGGGTTCTCTTTTCTCTACATCCTTGCCAACACTTGTTTTCTTGCCTTTTTGATAATAACCATTCTGAAAGGTGTGAGATGATATCACTGTGGTTGTAATGTGCATTTTCCTGATGATTAGTGATGTTGAGCACATTTTCATGTACCTATTGTTCATTTGTAAATTCTCTTTGGAAAAATGTCTCTTCAGTTTCTCTGCCCATTTTTGAATCGGATAGTTTGTTTTTTTGCTGTTGGGTTGTATGTGATGATTTTTGATGGCTTCCTAGTTGGAGGCTCTGGCTTGGCTGTGACCAACCAGTGATGCGTCTCCCCCTCACCCTTGCAGGCATTCGCCCCTACAAATGTAATGTCTGCAACAAAGCCTTCACCCAGCGCTGCTCCTTGGAGTCCCACCTGAAGAAGATCCACGGAGTGCAGCAGCAGTATGCCTATAAGCAACGCCGGGATAAGCTCTACGTGTGCGAGGATTGTGGCTACACAGGCCCTACCCAGGAGGACCTGTACCTGCACGTGAACAGTGCCCACCCAGGCAGCGCATTTCTCAAAAAGACTTCCAAAAAACTAGCAGCCCTTTTGCAAAACAAGCTGACATCCACACTCCAGGAGAATGCCACCCTGAGCGAAGAGGAGGAGAAATGAGAAGGAGGAGGGGAGAGATGCCAACGCTGCCACATTTACATGGATTTTTGGTTTTGAGGGTCCCCCACCCCACTGGCTTTTTCTAATTAAAAGTGTTCAGTTTATCTCTCTGTCCTTTGGGGGCCTCAGCAGGGGGATCTGTTTCAAGGCTGCCAATTGTAATTGTGGCATCAGGCCCTCTGTCACCCGTGCCCTATTGAACACAGTCACGTTAAGGAAAGTTTATGGATGGCTGTGATCACTGTGCAGGACTTTTTTTCTTTCTTTTTTTAGGCTTTTCACACATGGAAGCAGAGGTGTTCTTAGACCATCGTTTTATGGTGCCTTGAAATAAAGTATTTCCACTTGAAATGCTACTCAAGCAAGAAAAATGAACTTCATTATCCTGAAAGAGTTTATAGGAATTATTTTAATAAATGAAATGTCCTCATGAAACTTTATAATAAAGCAGGGGAGGGTTGAGCTATATAGCTCTTTGTTTAGGGCTTACTGTGTGACATTCGACTTCAGGTTATTTGGGGGTTGATTATTTTGTATTAGTGAGTGGATTTGTAGAGGCAAATCTCTATTATTGGGTAGGAGCACAGACAGCTGATGAAGAGGTAGCACTGAACAACTGTCTTGCGCACTGATGGCCAGAGACACCTGGGGTCAACTCAGCAGGTAACTCACGAATGCTCTGGTCACTTTTTTGGCAGTGGGATTGCTGAAGAGATGCCCCTGGCTTTCCGGGTCTGGGACTTAAAGCACTTCTCCCTTCCTTGAGTCCAGCACTGGGATCAACGTGTGGCAAATGCTGGAGCGTGAGGAATGCTCACTGGCACACAGTGCACTTGTGGGAGGAGGGACAGAAGCATGGCAGTCTCCTTCAAGGCGTGTGACTGCGGAGCACGTTGACCTTTGGCGACCTGCATCTCCTCACCTGGGAGGCCTGGGAGATTAACAATACAGCCGACTTGAGACTGTAATAGGCCAAAAAGGAGGAAGCTGACCACGGGGAGAGGGGCTGGTGAGGTGGTTTCAGGGTCCTTTCATGCCTGGAGAGGCAGCCAGAAGGGCCCAGAACCCTTAGCAAACCTCGGTGGTCAGTCGTGCGTAGAGATATTTATCCCAGCCCCCTGAATGGAGTGAATGCCCCTGATTTGCACCATTGTCCTGCCCCATGTCCCCTGGGCACTGCCTGGGCTGAGTGCCTCAGGTCCATTTCCACCTTGGAAGCTCAACAACATCTTGCTTTGGGACCGGGTTGCTCCTTGGTCTAGGGAAACATTTGGATGATGAGGCCATTTTCTTATTTCCTTCCTCTTCCATCGTCCCCCTTCCTCCACTCCTCCCTTGCTTTCCTCTCCCTCCTTTTCTTTCATCTTCTCTCCCTCCTTCTGACCTCTCCTCTCTCACACTATGGACCAGGTATTATGCCAAGATCTGGACAATGTAAGCAGCATAGCCTATAACTTGTGTTAACACCTCGTTTCCAAATCAGCACTTTTCTTTCAGATGGAAGGAAGTCAGCCTATGACCTGTGGGGTGCTGTACACGTTCTCTGGAGCCATCCTTGGAGTGCTCCCTGGGAGGTCAGCTCCCTGAGCCCGTGAGTGCATGAGGTGACCGCAGAGGTCAGCAGCTGGCAGCCAGAGGAAGGGGCCAGGAACCCTAAACCTGCTCAAAACCCCTTTTCCTTTCTCTCCCCATTCTCCCTTCAAAAAGGAAAGAAAAGGCCTTCAAAAAGGAAACTTCGACTTGGAGCTACACAAGAGGCTGGCCTGAGACTAGGGCAGGCTTTGGGGGATCCTCACCCCTCTGGCTTCTCTGAATGGCAAGGCTCAGTGCCACAGGGCTTGCCCAAAGGGCCGATGTGCATCTTGCGCAGGCTCACCTGAAGCTCCGGGTGCTTCAGCTAGGGCCACATGGTCTAAACAGCCACGTTTGAGCATCAGCAGTGCCAGGGGTTACACTTGGGACCCACGGCAGCACAGTGAAATGAAGTTCAGCCTCCTAGGACAGAGCCAGCCCTGCGGGCTCAACACTGGCTCCAGTGGGCAAGTTGCTGACATCGTGCTGTGTCTCCTAGCACTTGACACAGAGGAGAGAGAGGCTAGAAGGTGGTTGATTCGCTTTTTCCTCAGTTATCTGGGTCATTTAGACACTAATGAGCATTCCTATAAAAGAGTATCTGGATGACTCTGGCTGGAGCAGCTGGCCTGTGGCCTGTTTTGGCCCAGGAAATTGTAAACTAGCTGATGTGACATTCTCTTTAGGGTCAGATTTTTATTGAACAGAACTCTTAGTTGCAGGTGACGGAAACTCAGATTAAAGTGACTTTAACAGAAGAGGGAATGTATTAGCTAATAAGTCTAGGGTTGTTACCATTTCATGGTTGGCTGGATGTAGGTGTTCAAATCATGTCATCATCCCTCGTCTTTTTCTCTTTTATCTGGTTTTCCCCCAGATGGCTTCTTTCTCAGGCAGGACCAAGTGGAAGTTGGATGGCCACCCACCCTTGGATTTCTATCCCACAGTTCAGCAGCCCATCAGAAGGAGGATTTGTCCTTTAGCCAGAGATCTTGGGCTGATGCTTTTTGTCTCCAATTAGCCCAATTTGAATCTTGGGCCCTCCCCTGAGCCAGTTACTGTGCTCTGGGAGACATAGGGCTCTCTTGGCTCAGGCCTGAGTCATATGCTCCTGCCTCCTCCCGAAGCAGGGGTGGAGAAAGGAGGTCAGCTATACCTCTGGCCTGAAAGTAGTGGGAAAGTGGTGCCCTGGCAGAAAAGCAGGGTGCTGTGACAAGAAATGCATGTTGGGCAGGTGTACGAGCTAAGAGAAGATGCAGCTGTTGTAACAAAGATTCCCAACCAACACTGTGGCTTAAAGAAGAGAGGTTATGGGGCTGGCCCAGTGGCTCAGTTGGTTAAGAGCTCACTCAAGAGTATGAGCTCTGAGCAATAGGGTCGCTAGTTCAATTCCTAGCCCGAGCTGAGCTGCCGCTGAGTTGCCAACAGGTGGCAGGATGGCTCAGCTAAAAAAAAAAGGGCCGGCCGAGTGGTGCGATGGTTAAGAGCTGGCTTGGGACGCCAGAGGGCCCTGGTTCGGATCCCACATATGAGGGCCAGTGACACTGCCCTCTACAGCTAAGATGCTGAACAACAGCTCAACCTGGAGCTGGGCTGCCGTGAGTCTGCCGGCAACGACATAGGCTGCAGCCCCTGCTGCAGTGGGTTGCTATGGGCTACCGAGTGTAGCCAGAAGCCAGCATGAGCAGCCAGCAGCCAGCGTGAGCAGCCGTCCAGAAGCCAGCGACTGATGTGCCTCGCCCGGGAAGAGCGCAATGATGGTGCCAATTTGGGCCAGTGAAGCAACGTCCTCCACAACTAGACTGAAGAACAAAATGACAGCAACTTGTCTGTCCCCCTTCCCCCAATTCCCCAGCACTGTTCCCATCCCCCCAATTCCCCAATAAAAATCTTTAAAAAAAAAAAAGAAAGTTTATTTCTTTCTCATTTGGATTGGTAGGTGGCTCTCTTCCATGCCATCACTTGGGGATACAGACTTCTTTCCTTTGTTGCTCTGCCTTGCCCTAGGACGTTGTCAACATGGGCATGGTTGAAGCTAGGTCTCTGTGGGTGGGTTTCAGCTGATAGGAGAGTTATCTTGGTTTGAGTTCCTCCAGAAGCCGATTCTGAGGCAAGGGTTCAAGTCAACTCCTTTGGTGAGTGATCCCAGAAAGCATCTGTAGGGAAGTGTGACAGGGAAGGAAAGACAGCCAACAAAGGGAATAAAATCAAGGAAGTTACTGCTGTGGACAACTGGAACTTAATGCCTGCGAGGATCTCTGGGAGACAATACAGACGTGCCTCAGAGCCACCCCACCTGAGGTGCACAGGAAACCATTTGTCCACTACCTCCCCATCCTGGGGGATTTAGTTGAGGTGCTGGCATTGGGGGCATTCATTTCTGGACCCTTCCATCTTGCTCTGTGCACTGGCCAAGCATGCTTCCTGTTTCAGAAAAGGCCCTCAGGCAGAGTAACAGGAGTTGGTCATAAGCCACCTTCAGCACACAGAGCCAAATGCTGAGGAGACCTGGGAAGGGCAGCACTGAGTCTGGTGCAGGTGTGGAAAGGGCCCTGTGAAGCTGCTGGTTTGGACGTAGCACATGGCCCTTCCACTCACATTCCAGGGCAGGGATTTCGCCACATTACTTGGGACGTGGGAAAATGCAGCCTTCTCAGCCACAATAGTCTTTTAAGCCAGAATGGGGGAATAGATTATGGTGGATAACTCACAGCCTCTGCCATTGCAGGCCAGACCAATGACTTCCACCTTAGTTTTGACCCCCTCCTCTTCCCAACCTTGTTTGCTTGTCCTGCTCTCAGTTGTCAGGAAATCCAGCTATAGTGTAGCATGACTTAGGACACTGGCTTTCAAGGTGGCAGCCCTGGAACTTAGGTTTGTAGGTGGTGCGGATGTGGATGGATGAGCTATTGTCAGTATTTTATATCCCTTATTAGAAATCATTTATTAACCTGAAAGTCCACCCAGCAGTATCTTTGCTCTTGGCTGGTGTTAGGTCAGCACAATGTGGAAACTGGTGCTCATACTTGTCAGAAGTACCTACTGGGGGTTCATTTTGGAGAGAGGACTCTGTTATCAATCAATGTGGTTTATTTGGTTGATGTCTTAGGTTGGGTTCCTAGAAGCAGAGCCTGAGACAGAGACTCTGGGATAAGTGATTTATTGGGGGAGACTCTAGGGAGGCAGTTGTGAGGGTGAAGGGTATGCCCACCATAACATTGATCGATTTGGCCCAATTCCTTGGCACAGAGAGAGACCACTTTGCAGTCCCACTGGCAATGTGTGAGAGCACCCCTCTCCTCCTAGACACTCATTTATCTTTAGATTTTGCTCATGTTGTTTTTTCTTGGCAAGCAGAAGTTTTGTGATTTTTATGAAGTTTGAATTGATCCATCTTTTTTTCTTTTATAGCTGCTGGAGATTGAGTTGCAGTTACAAAGCCTTCCCACTCCATTACATCGGAATTCTGTCATGCCTTTTTCTAGGACTTTAATGGTTTCATTTTATCATATATAAATCTTTGATCCATTTGGACTATTTCCTGGTGTATAGTGGGAGTTATGGATCCAACTTTATCATTTTCCAGATGGCTGACAAGAGATATTTTTTAACAGGGAGCTGGTCCAAAACACACCAGAGAATGCTTTCTTCAGGAAAAGGTTGTGTGCCTCAGCAGAAGGTATTGAAAATTATAGTCAGGAGCAGTTTTCTTTAATTAGCAAAGATTCATTTGTTCAATGAATATTTACCAAGTGCCCACTGTGTGCCAGGTACTTTCCTAGATACTGAGGAAAAAGTAGGCACAAGTCCTTGTCCTCCAGGAGTTCCCGTTGTCTTGGGGGAAACAGAGAAGAAATAAGCAAGTAAATATATACTGTATTCGCTACTATAAAGAAAAATCACATTGGTGTTCCAGTTACTATGACTGTGTAACAAATTGTGCTCAAACTTAGTGGTCTGTGGGTCAGGAATTGGGACAGAGCACAGCACAGAGGCACAGGGGACGGCTTTCCTCTGCTCCATGATGTCTGGGGCCTCAGCTGGCAGACTTGAAGGCTGGGGCCTGTGAGCCATCTGAAGGCGCGTTTGCTCGTGCATCTGATGGTTAATGCTGGCTGTTGTCTTGGGCCTTGATTCCCCCTGGGGCTCCAAGGCTCACACTACCTGGGGCTCCCTTTACAGTCGCTTTGTGGGGGCTCGTTTGGGCTTCCTCTGATATGGTGGGTTTCAAGGGAGAATGTCCTCGGAGAGTCAGGCGGAGGCTATATCACCTATGAAGAGCCTGACTTAGAGTCCTGCAGTGTCACTTCTGCCACATTTTATCTTTTAGAAGAGAGTTAGCTCCTAATGCTGGTCCATATTGAAGAGGAGGGGAATAAGAATCCCCTTTGATGGGAGAAGTGGTTCTTGAAGAGCTTGTAGTACCATGCAAATTGCTATGGCCATTTTTAGAAAATAAAATCTGCCACATAAGGCAAGGATGGCTGGGATGAGGATAGATATGAGTAGGTAATGGCGGTGGAGATTGTTGGCATTTATGTAGGGGGCCAGGGGTGTGCAGCCTTAAATACGTGAGGGAATAAGCCCTGTGGTTATCTGGGGAATTGTCTCAGGCAGAGGGAACAGCAAAGATGAGGGCCAGGGAACTGGGGTGTACTTGACTTGTCTGAAGAGCAAAAGAACCAGTATAGCTACAGTGGGGTAAGAAGAGATGGGAGACTGTAGACGAGGTCAGAGGTCAGGAAGAGCAGGCTATTGTAAAGACTTTTCTTCTGAATGAATTAGGAAAGCATTGAGAGTTTTGAGCAGAAGAGTGACATGATCTCACTTGACGTTTTAATGGGCTTGCTGTGGCTGCTGTGAGGACAGATTTGGAGGTGAGAGGCACAGGTGGAAGTGGGAGACCAGTTAGGAGGCCATTGCAAAAATAAAGGCAGGACATGATGAGTGCTTGGACCGGGGTGATAGTGCAGGAAGTGGTGAGAACTGGATTCTGGACATGTTTTTTAAAATAGAGCTGAATGTGTTGTTGAATGGATGTGGGTTACTGGACTGACTATATGTCCTTACTTGTCTGGGATCATTCCAGTTTATATAATGAATGACATGGTCACCCTGGTGATGAGAAAAAGAAAGGAGTCGTGAATGGCTCCCAAGTTTTTTGCCTGAGCAACTGGGAGAATTGCGATGCCTGAGGAGCTGGGAAGGGGTAGGGGAGAAGTCAGGAGTCTGGTTTGGATCTTTTCAGGTTGCTTATGAGACATCCAAGTGTCTGGTAAGCACAAGTTGAGTAGGAGGTGGGAGTTCCCGGATGGGGCCTGAGGTGAAGATAGGGAGCTGAGAAGATCAACAAGAAGAGCCCTGGGCACACTGGTGCCGCCGCTGGGGAGTGAAGCAGCAGCAGCATGAAGAACAGGAAGGAGCTGCCACAGAGCAGGAAGGGGCACGGTAAGAGGCTGAGGGGGCTAGCGCCCTTTCAGAGGTGCTTTCTGTCACCAGCTGGGTGCCTACTCTTTGCTTTGAATGACAATCTTTCTTAGATATGTATACTTCCTCATAAACAGAGGACAATGAACACAATCTGCTGTTAAGAGTGACTTAGTCATGATTAGAAATACCTCCTGTGGTCATACCATTTGTAGGTATGGCTTCTCCAAGCCTCTGAGGCCCACAGGCCTGCTTGTCCCTGCCCTGCAGCCCAGACTGTTGGGAACCTTCTGTTTGCGTTTTGAGTTCTCTGTCTTCCCCTTGGCTGGCAGCTGTCACTTTCCTTCTTATCCTATCGCAGCCCCTCCTCCCTTAATCCAGGGCTTCCCAGGCTACAGTTGTTTGATAACCAGTTTATCGAGCACAATAGAATTGTAAGTGAAGTGAGCTGTCCTGTGACCTTTAGTCACTAGGAAGTTCTGTTTCTTTTCCTCTTCATTTTCCCTGGATAATTGCTTACTGGAAGGTAGCTTTTGGATAAGAGAAATGTAACTATAAAAGTTATTTTGTTGCCAAGTTAATCAGTCATTCAGTATTTACTAGGCCCACCCTGTTCCATACATTTAGACCCAGCAAGGGCTACAGAGAGTGGCTGCTTAGTTCATTCATACAACAAATATTAATGGTGGACCTACAGACAAAACAGACAAAAACATTGCCTGTTTTGAGTTTACATTCTAGAGGGAGAAGGTAGACAATAGATAAGATAAATTAGTAAAATATGAGAATGTAGGTGGCGCTAAGTGCTGTGGGGAAGTCATCAAGCAGAGAAAGCACACGGGGTGCGAGGGAGAGGAGGTTGCAGTGTAAACAGGGTGCTCCTCTCCTGGGAGGCCTTAATGAGAAGACAAGGGGCGTCTAAACCCACAAGCTCAGGATCCAGCGGCAT